CTTCTTTAACTCCATATAGTTTATATAGTAACGGTGACTTTGACTGAATGTGAACATGTCCTTCTACAATTGTAGGTTATACCCAGACGACCAAGGTGCCTGGACATGGGTTACACATTGCAACTGTCCGTGGTCACGTGGGCTCCATTCTGAGAAAGCTATGTTATGCTGGACTTTCTCTGTGAAGAATGTGGTCAGTAGATATAGGGGTGTATTTTGCTGGTCCGAATGTTCCGAGTAGTGGGGAAAGTATAACCTTCCGCATTCATGGTGAAGTGTAAGAATGAGTTGCGGGTGCTGTCCACACCCAATGATACCCCAGTTACCGTAGAAAGGCAGTTGTAGTGTCAGCTGAGGTCGTCTGGAAGTCTGATTTCTTTTGCACTTATATTGATAGTTTTTGAAAAGCACTAAGCTTCAGGATAAAATGAAGCAATACACTGTCTCTGTTTGACCATTTACTAATTATAAGCACAAAAGTCAGAGCAAAGATTTCGAGTTTTGGGCCTCTGTTCTGGCAATTAAAACTTGTAGATTTTTATATCGATCTGCGTATCACTTCCAAAGGCACAAACAAAACATCATAACTCTATATTGAAATGTGCCACCTCCTATAATGATGATTTAGTCTTTTAATGTTTCAGAACCCTTTCAGACGTGCAGAATCCTATTTTTATGACTTGGTCTTTCAATGTTTTAGACCCTGTTATATAGTGTTGCTGTTTTATGGTTTTGCTCCAGTTGAGACGCGCCACTTCTATAAGGAGTTAGTCTTTAAATGTTTCAGATCCCGTTGAGAAGCGCAGCCTCCATAAGGAACACGACTTTTTATGTTTCAGACCCCGTTGAGACGCGCCACTTCAATAAGGAGTTAGTATTTTTATGTTTCAGATCCCATTGAGGCGCGCCACTTCAATAAGGAGTTAGTCTTTTTATGTTTCAGATCCCATTGAGGCGCGCCACTTCAATAAGGAGTTAGTCTTTTTATGTTTCAGATCCCATTGAGGCGCGCCACTTCAATAAGGAGTTAGTCTTTTTTATGTTTCAGACCCCGTTGAGACGCGCCACTTCAATAAGGAGTTAGTCTTTTTTATGTTTCAGACCCCGTTGAGGCGCGCCACTTCAATAAGGAGTTAGTATTTTTATGTTTCAGACCCTGTTGAGGCGCGCCACTTCAATAAGGAGTTAGTATTTTTATGTTTCAGACCCTGTTGAGGCGCGCCACTTCAATAAGGAGTTAGTATTTTTATGTTTCAGACCCCGTTGAGGCGCGCCACTTCAATAAGGAGTTATTTTTTTAATGTTTCTGATCTCGTTGTGACGCGCCGCGTCCCATAATCAATGGCTCCCTTTGTTTCAGCTCCAGCTGAGACGCGCCACTTCCTGTTATAATGATCTATTTGGTGTACAATGATATAGCTGCAATTAAGCTTAAGCCGCGCCGCTTTCTTATATAATGAGTTGGTCCCTAATGTTATAGCTCCAGTTGAAACGCGGTACTTCCTTTAATAATGAATTGGTCTTTTAGCCCACACTGAGGTGCGCCATTTTCTATTATAATCAATTATTTTTTGAATGTTTTAGCTTTCATAATGAGTTAGTCTTTTAGCTCCAGTTGAAAAGCGCTATTTTCTATTCATATAAGTTGGTCTCTAACGTTTTAGCTACAGTTGAGACGAACCACTTCCTGGTATAATGAGTTGGTCTCCAGTGTTTCAGCTCCAGTTGTGACGCGCCATCTCATGATGAGATCATATAATGAGTTGGTTTCTAATGTTTCAGCTCCAGTTGTGACATCTCTTACTAATGATGTTCTCTCATGTTTTAGCTCCAGTTGAGATGCGCCGCCTCCTACTGTAATGAGTTGTTTATTTATGATTCATAACCAGTCTGAGACGCATCACTTAGACGAAGCAGAATAATTTTTCTGACAGAATCATTTTTTCAATAGTGTGGTTTAAACTTGGCGCTTCTTTAACTCCATATAGTTTATATAGTAACGGTGACTTTGACTGAATGTGAACATGTCCTTCTACAATTGTAGGTTATACCCAGACGACCAAGGTGCCTGGACATGGGTTACACATTGCAACTGTCCGTGGTCACGTGGGCTCCATTCTGAGAAAGCTATGTTATGCTGGACTTTCTCTGTGAAGAATGTGGTCAGTAGATATAGGGGTGTATTTTGCTGGTCCGAATGTTCCGAGTAGTGGGGAAAGTATAACCTTCCGCATTCATGGTGAAGTGTAAGAATGAGTTGCGGGTGCTGTCCACACCCAATGATACCCCAGTTACCGTAGAAAGGCAGTTGTAGTGTCAGCTGAGGTCGTCTGGAAGTCTGATTTCTTTTGCACTTATATTGATAGTTTTTGAAAAGCTCTAAGCTTCAGGATAAAATGAAGCGATACACTGTCTCTGTTTGACCATTACTTAAGTCAGTTTATAGAGTTTTGGACCTCTGTTGTGCGTAGCCGTTCCGGCAATTAAATTTTGTAGAAATTGATAACGATCTGTTATTCACTACCAAAGGATCATTGCGAAAACAAAATCAAGACTACATGTATATTGAAATGTGCATCCTCCTTTAAATGATAATTTACTCTTTTAGTGTTTCAGATAGATTTGAGACGCGCCACTTCCAGTTATAATAGGTTGCTGTGTTATGTTTTTGCTCCAGTTGAGACTCCTATTGTTTCAGATCCCGCTGAGACGCGCCACTTCTATAAGGAGTTAGTCTTTTAATGTTTCAGATCTCGATGGGTCCTTTTTGTTTTAGGTACAGCTGAGACGCACCACTTCCTATTATATTGATCTATTTGGTGTAAAATGTTTTAGCTCCAACTGAGTCCTGCCAACTTTCATAATGAAGTGGTCTTTAAGCGTCAGTTGAGACGTGCCATTTCCTACTCTGATAAGTTGGTCTTTTAGATTCAGTTGAGCCACGCCACTTTCGTTTCAGATGAGTTGGTCTCTAATGTTTTATCTACAGTTGAGCCGCGCCACTTTCTTTTGATATGAGTTGTTCTCTAATGTTTTATCTACAGTTGAGCCTCAACACTTTCTTTTGATATGAGTTGTTCTCTAATGTTTTATCTCCAGATGAGATAAGCTACTTCCTATTAGAAGTGTATATTTGAATGTTTCAGTTCCAGTTGAGACGCGCCACTTCTCATTGTAATGGTCTCACCGCCTGTATTCATGGTCAAGTGAAAGAATGAGTTGCAGGTGTTCCACATCTAGGCATCTGGCATACTATTTAATTTGCCTTGGTATCCAATTTAAGAACTCATGGGTGTGATCAATGTACACAGTTGGCACTAGTAAATCAGATTTTCATATAGAGAGCATGACCAGACGAGCTTATAAGCTAAGGACTATATATAGAGCTATATAGCTGAAATATTGCTGTGTGCGGCGTAAAACAACAAACAAACAAACCAAAACAAGCCATAGGGATAACAATAGGGTTTCTGTCAAAAGTATCAACAGTGAACGCATGCAGACACCAGTGAAAATATACGTATCGGTATCACCCATTAAAACATTAACATTGACATTAAAATGCACATTTATGACAAATCATTTGATTGGAAAAGGATTTTACTGCAATGTTGCAACGGGTTCACCTGAGTCTTATGAAACAAGTAACCCCCACACAAAACCAACTGAAATAACTAAACTAAACTAAACAACAAACCCTTGGCCTAATTCACGAGATGGTAATTCGTCCATACAATAAACTACGGTTATAACGAACTGAAAGGGACCACTAATATTAGTTCGTATTAACCGCAGTTCGTTATAAGCATATATATATATACTGATACAGTTTCTTTGTCCAGTACGCCAGCCACAGTGATATCACAGTGGTATTTATTTCAATGATCGTCTCATGTCCTGATTAGAGCTGAGGATTTCTAAATCCGTAGTCCGTCAACTGAGAACAACAGTTCGTAATTATGATCTCCCTTCTTCTCAGTCAACATTTCCAATACAGCATCTAAGCAACTGTCCCATGAAAGGTTTGGGTGGCCTAAGGACCCGGGAGGGGACCTGGGCCCACTTGCACAAAGCGATCTTAGCGCTAAGACGATCGTAACTCCCATACTTTAACATAGGCTTACAATAGTCGAATAGGGTCCCAGGTATTGTAAAACAAAGAGGAGTCTAATGTGGTCAGGTTCGGTGTTTTGGTTGACTCTTCACCTCACCCGTAACTTTGCTCATTACCTTAAACCCGATGCTTGGTTTGCCGATTACAGACAGCCATGATATAGCCAGGGTATACGTATTGCCGTACGTGGCCAGAGCTGTTTTACGATAAAAAGTATCATTGTAGAACATCTCATCATCCAGTATTGATAGACAATATGATATTGTTTTCAGCTCATATTGGCGGGACAGCAGGAAAATACGACTACAAAGAAGGAGCTGTATGATAGTGAGATTTTCATCACCAGGGGGGCTGTGTGATGGTGAGATGTTCATCACTAGGGGATATTGATGGTGAAATGTTAATGACTAGTTGCTTGTATGATGGTGAGGTGTTCATCACTATGGGGTTGTATGATGTTGAGACGTTATTGACTAGGGGCTGAATGATTGTGAGATGTTCATCACTAGGTGTCTGTATGAAGGTGAAATGTTCATCACTAGAGGCTGTGCGATGGTGAGATGTTCATCACTAGGGGATTGTGAGATCTTCACATCGGGGGCCTGTATGGTGGTGAGATGTTTCTCACTAGGGTGCTGTGTAAAGGTGAGATGTTCATCATTTGTGGGTGACATGATTGTGAGATGTTCATCGATAAAGAGTGACATGATAGTGAAATGTTTATCACTAGGAGCTGTATAATCGTGAGATGTTCATCACTAGCAGGTGTATGATTAAGAGGTGTTCATAACCATGTGGCTGAATGATGGTGAGATGTCGACCAGTAGGGGTTTGTATGCTGTTGAGGTGTTCATCACCAGGGGACTGTAAGATGGTGGGGTGTTCATCACAATGGGGACTGTAAGATGGTAGGGTGTTCATCACCAGGGGACTGTAAGATGGTGGGGTGTTCATCACCAGGGGACTGTAAGATGGTAGGGTGTTCATCACCAGGGGACTGTAAGATGGTGGGGTGTTCATCACCAGGGGACTGTAAGATGGTAGGGTGTTCATCACCAGGGGACTGTAAGATGGTAGGGTGTTCATCACCAGGGGACTGTAAGATGGTGGGATTTTCATCACCAGGGGACTGTAAGATGGTGGGATGTTCATCACCAGGGGACTGTAAGATGGTGGGATGTTCATCACAATGGGGACTGTAAGATGGTGGGGTGTTCATCACAATGGGGACTGTAAGATGGTGGGGTGTTCATCACAATGGGGACTGTAAGATGGTAGAGTATTCATCACAATGGGGACTGTAAGATGGTAGGGTGTTCATCACCAGGGGACTGTAAGATGGTGGGGTGTTCATCACCAGGGGACTGTAAGATGGTGGAGTATTCATCACAATGGGGACTGTAAGATGGTAGGGTGTTCATCACAATGGGGACTGTAAGATGGTGGGATGTTCATCACCAGGGGACTGTAAGATGGTGGGGTGTTCATCACCAGGGGACTGTAAGATGGTGGGGTGTTCATCACAATGGGGACTATAAGATGGTGGGGTGTCCATCACCAGGGGACTGTAAGATGGTGGGTTGTTCATCACCAGGGGACTAAAGTTTGGTGGGGTGTTCATCACCAGGGGACTGTAAGATGGTAGGGTGTTCATCACCAGGGGACTATAAGATGGTGGGGTGTCAAGATGGTGGGGTGTTCATCACCAGGGGACTGTAAGATGGTAGGGTGTTGATCACCAGGGGACTGTAAGATGGCAGGGTGTTCATCACCAGGGGACTATAAGATGGTGGGGTGTTCATCACCAGGGGACTGTAAGATGGTGGGGTGTTCATCACCAGGGGAATGTAAGATGGCAGGGGGTTCATCACCAGGGGACTATAAGATGGTGGGGTGTTCATCACCAGGGGACTGTAAGATGGTAGGATGTTCATCACCAGGGGACTGTAAGATGGTAGGTTGTTCATCACCAGGGGACTGTAAGATGGTGGGGTGTTCATCACCAGGGGACTGTAAGATGGTGGGGTGTTTATCACCAGGGGACTATAAGATGGTAGGGTGTTCATCACAATGGGGACTGTAAGATGGTGGGATGCTCATCACCAGGGGACTGTAAGATGGTAGGGTGTTCATCACAATGGGGACTGTAAGATTGTGGGGTGTTCATCACCAGGGGACTGTAAGATGGTAGGGTGTTCATCACAATGGGGACTGTAAGATGGTGGGATGTTCATCACAATGGGGACTGTAAGATGGTAGGGTGTTCATCACCAGGGGACTGTAAGATGGTGGAATGTTCATCACCAGGGTACTGTAAGATGGTGGGATGTTCATCACCAGGGGACTGTAAGATGGTGGGATGTTCATCACCAGGGGACTGTAAGATGGTGGGGTGTTCATCACCAGAGGACTGTAAGATGGTGGGGTGTTCATCACCAGGGGAATGTAAGATGGCAGGGGGTTCATCACCAGGGGACTATAAGATGGTGGGGTGTTCATCACCAGGGGACTGTAAGATGGTGGGATGTTCATCACCAGGGGACTGTAAGATGGTAGGTTGTTCATCACTAGGGGACTGTAAGATGGTGGGGTGTTCATCACCAGGGGACTGTAAGATGGTGGAATGTTCATCACCAGGGGACTGTAAGATGGTAGGTTGTTCATCACTAGGGGACTGTAAGATTGTGGGGTGTTCATCACCAGGGGACTATAAGATGGTAGGTTGTTCATCACCAGGGGACTGTAAGATTGTGGGGTGTTCATCACCAGGGGACTGTAAGATGGTAGGGTGTTCATCACAATGGGGACTGTAAGATGGTGGGATGCTCATCACCAGGGGACTGTAAGATTGTGGGGTGTTCATCACCAGGGGACTGTAAGATGGTAGGGTGTTCATCACAATGGGGACTGTAAGATGGTGGGATGTTCATCACAATGGGGACTGTAAGATGGTAGGGTGTTCATCACCAGGGGACTGTAAGATGGTGGAATGTTCATCACCAGGGTACTGTAAGATGGTGGGATGTTCATCACCAGGGGACTGTAAGATGGTGGGATGTTCATCACCAGGGGACTGTAAGATGGTGGGGTGTTCATCACCAGAGGACTGTAAGATGGTGGGATGTTCATCACCAGGGGACTATAAGATGGTGGAGTATTCATCACCAGGGGACTATAAGATGGTGGAGTATTCATCACAATGGGGACTGTAAGATGGTGGAGTATTCATCACAATGGGGACTGTAAGATGGTGGGGTGTTCATCACCAGGGGACTATAAGATGGTAGGGTGTTCATCACCAGGGGACTGTAAGATGGCGGGATGTTCATCACCAGGGGACTATAAGATGGTGGGGTGTTTATCACCAGGGGACTGTAAGATGGTGGGATGTTCATCACCAGGGGACTGTAAGATGGTGGGGTGTTTATCACCAGGGGACTGTAAGATGGTGGGGTGTTTATCACCAGGGGACTGTAAGATGGTGGGATGTTCATCACCAGGGGACTGTAAGATGGTGGGGTGTTTATCACCAGGGGACTGTAAGATGGTGGGGTGTTTATCACCAGGGGACTGTAAGATGGTGGGATGTTCTTCACCAGGGGACTGTAAGATGGTGGGGTGTTTATCACCAGGGGACTGTAAGATTGTGGGGTGTTTATCACCAGGGGACTGTAAGATGGTGGGGTGTTCATCACCAGGGGACTATAAGATGGTGGGGTGTTTATCACCAGGGGACTATAAGATGGTGGGGTGTTCATCACAATGGGGACTGTAAGATGGCAGGGTGTTCATCACCAGGGGACTATAAGATGGTGGGGTGTTCATCACCAGGGGGGCTGTATGATGGTGATATATTCGTCACAATTAGGGGTCGGGGTTGTCTGTTTGATGGTCAGATGTTCATCATCGGGTGTTTGGGACTCTAGTTGGATATTCATCATTAGGGGGACTGTATGATTGTGAGATGTTCATTACTAAGGGATGAGGGGCGGTGGGGTAGCCATGGGGTTAAAGCGTTCGCTCGTCACGCCGAAGACCTGGGTTCGATTCCCCACATAGGTACAATGTGTGAAGCCCATTTCTGGTGTCCCCCGCCGTGATGTTGCTGGAATATTGCTAAAAGCAGCGTAAAACCATACTCACTCACTCACTCACTCACAAGGGGATGAATGATGGTGAGATGCTCATGACTAGTTTGTGGAACGATGGTGAGATGTTTATCACTTGTTACTTCAGGTCCTGTCGTCACCACTCGCCCTTTTCCGTAACCCGCGAGAACACTCGTCCCCCCTATCGATGAATGTTATGTGCGACAATACGACAAACCAATCAGAATGCGCGTATGACTTCATGTTCTTCGGTCAAAGAATCCCTCAGGAATAATTTTGATTTTACATTTGTCTTGCATCTAAAAATAAGCCCAAGATACAGTAAAATGTGTTCAATCATACTGTATAATACTGCATGTCCCGATGTGCTTTAAATTGCATCTGAAATATTTAATACATGGGGAAATATACGTGAATCATTACGCAACGAGTTGACAATTCTTTTTGCTATGCTGCTTTGCGCTTAGACGGATCCCGGTCGCAAAAATAACCATGTGATGGGCACGAGTCGCTCTTCGACTTGTTCCGGAATAACACGAGTTGGCCACGAATGAGTTCTTTCAAACACCGTTAGGGAGCATCCATTTGATTTGTATGGGGATGTTCGAGAACAATCTAATTTATCCCAGCTGTATCCAACAAGCTATTAACACAAACTGCTAAAAAACTATTCATTTTGGGCAAAAATCTGAAAAATCTATTCATTTACCATCCCCCACCCCAAACCCATATAAATAGATGCTCCATTCCACCAATAGAGGCGCGGACATGTACGTATAATATGACATTATCTATCGTGAGTGAAAACAACTATATTGGCTTCATATATATGTTTGTTAAATCACAAAGCATATTTTGTAAACAAAACCGTTGGAGGACGATGCATTCAGCTCGTTGTCATAAACGATGGGATTTATTTACGTTATATTCATACAGTGATCACATTTTTTAATAAATTCAATATTCCATATGCAATTTTCCAGCAATATCACGAAATGGGGTTCACACATTGTACCCATGTTAGGAAACGTCGAAAATGGACTTTTATCGTCAGTTAACACCCTTACCTCGGGAAGATGCGGTCACCATTGCTACTTATAAAATTATCCGATATAATGCCATTCTTCCGAACACACACCGTCACTTTTTTATGTAAAGATCACAATAACTTCCCAGTTCTGCAACTTAGCCCATGTCCTTGAAAGAAGCACAAGTTAACCCTTAATTTTCACCGAGTCAAAAGCCTTTGCAAAATTTACAAATACAGCATATAACTTCCCTCCTTGTATTGATAAATAGCTCTGTATTATAGAATGTAGAATATAAGCTTTGTCAGTGGTGGACAAGTCTCTTAATAATAGAAAATATGATCTCGCCAAAAGGATATTGAAAATAAGTTCCAATCAGGGTATTAAAATATCTTAGGAATATTTAAAAAAAACTCTATGCATATTATCATTTCCAGATGCCTTATTATCTTTAAGGTGGGAGATACTGTCAATAATTTCCTCTCTAGATATTGGACATTCAAGAATATCAGCAGTTACACAGCCAGCTTTATCTTCGTTGAATTCTATGTCAAATGAATTGCCATCATCATGGCTGAATGGAAATGAAAACAATTTCTGGAAATGCTCAAATCAGTCTTGAATAGCAATGTCATTTTGGCATATTTGTTTGGTTTAATGGCTTTTAACGTAGACCAAATGTTTTAGAATTATCTATGCTTGATTCAATTTATTCTTACAAAAATTATTGTACTGATTTCTTACTCTGCTATTGTCTGTTAGTGATCAACTGTCCTTATTCTTGCCAAATTTATTTAAACCTCCACATCGCTCCTTTTAAAATCATTGTCATTCGCTATCAAACCATTGTTGATAATATTTATAGCACTTATAATATTTCTCAACGTTAACAAATGCTACATCTTCAGTCTGCTCCAGCAAATCATGTTCAGTCTTCTCTTCAACACTAAACAAATTTAAAGGAATCATTGATATGTGTATTGCGTGGCGTAGGGTCACTGATTTGAAGCGTTCGTAAACTAGTCGTGACCGGAAGGTGTGAGGACTCGCCTCGAGACGCTATGTTGGTTGGTTGGTTGCTTTACGCTGCACTCAACAATACTCCAGCTATATGACGGCGGTCGGTAAATAGTGATTGATATCATGAGCATCGATCCACGCAATTGGGATCGATGACATGCTTCAACCAAGTCAGCGAGCCTGACCACCCGATCCCGTTAGTCGCCTTTTACGACAAGCATAGTCGCCTTTTACGTCAGGTATGGATTCCTGAGGACCTATTCTATCCCGGATCTTCACGGGACGACGGTATGTCAAAGCTATGGCCTATATCAAACAACTCAGACGAGGCAATAACATAATCCACCACACTCGCACCCTGGTTTCCTATACAAGTAAAATCTCCCACACCGGCGTCTGACCCGGCAATATGGCAATACCAACCAACAGTCTCCCAAAGTTGGAAATCTTTTCAACTTCTTTGATCCAAAGCTGGAGCTAAGAAACTTATGTCTATATCTTTCATCCATGTTTCTGTTATGCCGATAAAGTCAAATGAGTTTAAATAATCGGTAAGGTGGGGTGAAATGGGGTTTAACGTCGCGTTCCAGATTATTGCACTTCTATTGCGCCGTGCATGCACGTGTGTGTCTGTGTGTGTGACTACTTGTACTAGTCCGGACTGATGCCGATTTATAGTGCTAGCCCACTGAGATACAATGCCGCAGTGTAACATGAATACCCCACTCAGACAAAGCATACTGACTCCGAGCCGACCAGTCCTTGTTATTGCCGCTTAATGCCGAGCGCCAGACAGGGTAACAACAAGTACCATCTTTTACCGTCTTTTGGTATGACGCGGCCGGGGATCGAACCCCGAACCTTCCGCTCCCCGGGCGGACGCTCTTCCACTAGACCATGGAGGCGGTCCAAGTAATCGGTAAAGCCCTGTTAATTCAGAATTCAGTCCTGATACATTCCAGACAACAAGTGTTCTATTCATTACGATAATCAACATCGTCTGTCGGATCTACTTAAGGCGTCCTACAATCATGCTCGGTCTCGTCGCACCCCTAGCGGATTGCTGTTCTGTCCCAGCCTTAGAGCGAGAACTTGGAGGGTGATGTTCTGATGTCCTAGCGATGCCTTCTCTCCCGTCTGTGTGATGTCGTCCCTCTCTCTGGAGTCTCTTGACTGTCTGTCATCTCAAGATCCTTTTTCACATCATCCACAATTTTCCCTCCTTTATAAGAAATACCCGCTAATCTGGATTTTCAAGCAACCCATGCTTGTCGTAGCAGGCCACTATGGTTGTTGTAAGAGGCGAATAACGGGATCGGGTGGTCAGGTTCGCTGACTTGGTTGATGCATGGCATCGTATCCGAAATTGTGTAGATCGATGCTCATGATATCAATCACTGGATTGTCTGGTCAATACTCGATTATTTGCAGACAGCCATCATATACATGTAGCTGGAATATTGCTGAGTGTAGCGTTAAACAACAAACTTGTCGCCGGAAGTATGTTAGGTCATTAGCCACACCGTACCCCATTTCTCTCAGGGTGTTTAAGTGTTTTCACGCCATTTTCAGGATAAGTGGGCGGGGTTTATTTGTTTCTCTGCTCGATATCCTGCGTGCACGTTCTATGGCTCTATCAGCAAGTTCCTCATATGTATGATTCGTATTTCTGATATTAAAAACATGGTCAGACTCAAGGTGTCTGTCTACGTCGGTCTAATGTATCGGCCTGGTGTATCTACATCTGTCTGGTGCAGTGATACGTCTGTGCTGATGCCGACTTTGAGTAATCCAAAATACTGCCATATATTCCCACGGGTATTACATGGAATATTTGAGCTTTAAAAATGTTTGGGTGATATTTGTAGATGCGGGTTTAAGAACTTTGGGTTTCTCCACTATTTTTACCAGCTTCCAGCTTCCAGTTTTGACCCCTGCCTCCCCAACATAACATAATTTGCACACAATGAAAAAAAGTGAAATGATGTCACTTTAGGATATGATCCCATAGGTCACATCTACACAGATAAACATTTACCCTTTAGTCATATGATTGTAGGTCAGATTAACTTTTCACTTTTTACAATTTACAACCAGTATCGATATGGATAGAATTATGTTAAGAAGGAGCAGTACTCTTCTGTTACCGCTGTTCATGAGGTCTATTGCAGTGTCAATCATCTCACACTATGACGGCGAACTCGACTATATATAGAGGTACGGGTAGAAATAGTGCAGTGATTTACAGCTGATCTGGAGTTCTCTGTCTATACAGTACCCTACAGTGCAGCGTGCGGCTTTCACGTCTCACTCCCCAATGATAGTAACTGTTGTCCAATCTCACCGCTTTCCATAAATCTTATGTGAAGCTCATGTACCGAGTCGTATGTTCAAGGGCGGTGCTACCGTCCTGTCCTTGAAGGACGATAGCAACGAAAATACAAACAATATTATTTGATGACAACAAACACATGCACTCAGACACACACACACGTACGCACACATACATACACTCAGACACACACGTACGCACACATACATACACTCAGACACACACACGTACGCACACATACTAACACTCAGACACACACATGCACACACATGTACGCACACATAGATACACTCAGACACACACACACGTACGCACACATACATACACTGATACACACACGTACGCACACACACTAACACTGAGACACACACACATACTAACACTCAGACCCACACATGCGTACGCACACATAGATACACTCATACACACACGTACGCACACATACTCACACTCAGACACACACGTACGCACACATACTAACACTCAGACACACACATGTACGCACACATACTAACACTCAGACACACACACGTACGCACACATACTTACACTCAAACACACATGCACACACATGTACGCACACATAGATACACTCAGACACACACACACACATACATACACTGATACACACACGTACGCACACATACTAACACTCAGACACACACACATACTAACACTCAGACCCACACATGCGTACGCACACATAGATACACTCATACACACACGTACGCACACATACTCACACTCAGACACACACATGTACGCACACATACTAACACTCAGACACACATGCGTACGCACACATAGATACACTCAGACACACACATGCACACACATGTACGCACACATAGATACCCTCATACACACACGTACGCACACATACATACACTCAGACAAACACACGTACGCACACATACTTACACTCAGACACTCACATACGCACACATGTACGTACACATACACTCACACACACACACACGCACGCACGCACGCACGCACGCACGCAGGCAGGCAGGCACGCTGGCACACACACATACCATGAACAAGACTAAGGACCATTCCTTCTTCTTTTTACCTATATCCCGAATTCTCACGAATGTTTTTAGAAGTATCTACAGAATGATGTCATTCACTCCAACAGACAATTGATATAAGATTCGAGTTTTTATAAATCGCTACGTTGTATAAAAATATAAAATAACTGCATCGAGGTTAACTTCTCGTTGTGTAAATGGGATGAAGCGTCTTGATAAAGGCACGTGTCACTGAACCCAAACGTCACGTGGAGAGGCGTGATCAGTGATACCACTGTTCATAAGGTGAAGTGAGATGAAATGCGGTTTAATGTGTCGTTCAAGATTATTTCACTTATGGCGACATGTGCGTGTGTGTATGTGTCTGCTTACACTAGTCCGAAATAGTAGGTTTTATAATGCTAGCCCACAGAGATACCTTGCTGAAGTGTAACATATATATCCCACTGAGACGCAGAATACTGACTCCGAGCCGACCATCTTTTAACCGTTTTTGTTTGTTCGAAGCGGCTAGGGGATTGAACACACACACACACACACACACATGAAAACATTAGAGGCGAAACGATTCATCGTGAGTTTTCATGCGCCGATACCATACATGATACGTTTTTTTCTGTATCGATACAAGACGATACACTTGCTAAAATACATTACTGCTCGTTTAATGCCCCCTCTCCCTTCTCCTCCCATCTCCCGGGCGTTTTTGTCAGTCAACAATCAAAATGTGTTGTAATTAAGTTTAGTACTTAAAATAGCCACAACGAACATGTGATTACAGTTAGCTTTTCCTTTTGAACCTGCTCTGAAATATTTATAGTCTAGACATTTCCAGGCGTTTTGATGTGAATATGCATATCGCGACACGTATCGTATCGTATCGTGACCTTGCCGTATCGTTTCACCTCTAAAAGACATTACACGGCAGATGATAACACGGCAGAACTCAATCTCTCGTGTGGCCACCTTCAACATCACATGCTGCCTGGCATCCCCTTCTTATGGGAGTCACACGTTGGGGACTTGTCGTGTTGAAAGATGACGTTAACTAGGGAACAACGTGTGACTGTAGGGCTTCACAACACCAGTTTTCGATCCGTTGCTTTGCACTAAGACAAGACTGGTTGTACCAGTGTGGGGGATTCGCGTCCACATCACTCAGCTGCCAAATCAATCGACCTCCCGTATGCAACTGGTGGCGAAACGACCGTGGCGATATCGGTACTCCCTCTCTCCCCCCATGATCATAACAATGCTGCATAATATTCGACTCGTCGCTGAATAAAAGTCCGACTCTGTCCGAGTTTCCGTCCCGAGGTCGCAGTTCATACCACTCTAAGAGTTCCAAAGCGATAAAACCCTTTCCATAGAAATCTCTGCATAAAGCTGAGTTGATAGTGCGATTCTGACTATATCATGAGCATGTGTTTATGAATCACTGTCAAATAATGATGACAACAGGTGCTCGCGAAAAGGTGAGCGTATCCTGCCCCACGGTGGCGCCCGTCACAAACGCATGCAAAGGTTAGTCAATTGTTCACCTGAAAAAAACGCGGGAACACATTGTCAAAATAAGGACAATTTGGAAATGCTGTCCTCATATCTTCCATTAAACGTGTTGAAAGCTTTAGTGGGGACTTGATTGTTGTAACCTTGATCAAACAACTTCTGAGCAAGAGTCGTACGCTGTTGGTATCGATACCAAAGTCTATACCGATGAATGCCGCCGGATATAGCCGAATGCGACTCTACTGCCCCCAGTCGTCAGGCCATGCATAACCCTCTCGTGCCGAGTGCCTCATGGTCATAGCACCGTGATCGCCATTTTTCGGGGAACAGGGCCCACTTGCACAAAGCGATCTTAGCGCCATGATGATCGTAACTCCCATACTTTAACATAGGCTTACACTCGTCTTAGCACTAAGATCGCTTTGTGCAAGTGGGCCCTGGTCCTCTGCGGCTGTTCCTCCAACATGTGACATGCACCGCCGGGGTGGAAATTGCTAATTCATTGAAGAATTCGCTATGTCAGCGATAAATGTGCCGAGTCAGGTCAGTTATTATCGTTTCCCTTTGTAACCGGGGTCAGAAGTTTCGTGACAAAGTCATTTCAGTCAACAAAAAACTCCTTAGTCATAACTCGTGATGCTGTTCGGACAATAGGCCTCTTGGTGAATCTGGTGACCCTTCTTGGAAGTGGTTGTCTCCCCCTAATAAACACATTGAATACCTTACAGGAATATGGTGCAGTCGTGTGTTAAATGAAGATTCCCACGTACAATTGAGGGTGTTGTTAGTTGACGATATCATTTATTTTGGATATATGGAAGAGGATGTAACTACCAGTTGTCGGACTTTCATTTTTGTGGAAGCCTCGGTGGCTGAGTGGGTTAGATCGATGACTTTGTGTGCTGGCGATTAGGTGCCTCACTCTGGCTGTGTGGGTTCCCGAATGGGACTCAACCTAAAAAGGTACTAGAATTTGTACTTTAGTAAGAAAGTGTTATCCTAAATATAACATTTGTTACACGATGTAATTCCGCTTCGCCTGCACCTGTTTCAAGCCCATTGCCTTTGTGACCGCCTTCGTGGACGAAATGAGTGAGTGAGTGAGTTTGGTTTTACGCCGCTTTTAGCAATATTCCAGCAATATCACGGCGGGGGACACCAGAAATGGGCTTCACACATAGCACCCATGTCGGGAATCGAACCCGGGTCTTCAGCGTGACGAGCGAACGCTTTAACCACTAGGCTACCCGACCGACCCTGGACAAAATGAGATGGTAAAAGATGTGGAAGTGGATAAAAGAAGAACTGGGCGGCTGGGAGTCAGAAAAGCGGAATGAAGCGACTTGATACAGGTACCACGCGTCACGTGGAAAGGACACAATTCCATGTCCATCCCGTCATCATTGATACCACAATTCAAAAGGTGAGGTGAGATGAGATGAAATGCGGTTTAACGTGTCCTTCAATATCATTTAACTTATTGCTAGCCCACTGAGATACCATGCCGCAGTTTAACATGAAAACTCAGACACAATATACTGACTCCGAGCCGTCCTGCCGAGCGCCAGACATGGTAACAACAAGTACCATCTTTTAACGTTTTTTGGTATGACGCTGACGGGGACCGAACACCAGACCTTCGCCTCTCCGGGCGGATGCTCTTCCACCAGACCACGGAGGCGGTCGCAGTCTACTGAAGGGATAGGAACAGTGACACCATCTCCCGGGTCTCCAGCAACATGGTCAACTCGACTGCACTTAACCATGCGTTCAGTTGGACCCAGATGACCACCAAATGCTCTCTTGCGGTTTACTAGAATGTTACCATGTATCGCTTGGATTTGGTCCATTATGCTACATAATAATTTAAGTCAATGTGTCAAATATTCTGCCTAAAATTTCAGTCATTTTGTAAACATTGACCGATTCTACACATTGACTGTAACATATAGAGGTTGCCATCAGCATCGTCCGGAAAGGTGATGGTTTCAAAGAATGTACCACTTAGATTTTAGATAGGCCGAGTTATCAAATAACAGTCTACGTCCTATAAAACATTCGTGGATTTTTAGGTAAAAAAAGGGTCATCAAACTGACAATTTCTTTCATTTCCAACGAATCTATGGCATTGTTACAATATACGTGGACTTGATGTAGACATCGTAGCGTATACACATGGGCCGTATCATTTAAAGGGTCACCGGTCTGTAGCTGATGAAGCATGGTCTAAAGGGCGGATGGTTACCCCGATAGCCGGGCAGAAGCCTGAGTCTGGTGATCCTTTAAATTCATTGCTACACTTTATTCAGTCTTTTCATACACATGTGATTATGTTTTTCATCAACTTTTATCTC